CGATGTTTTTATCAAGAACATTACCTTGAATGGAAAAGAGTTTTCCTTGAGGATTGATGACACCTCTGGGCAAGAGAGGTTCGATAGCATAACTTCTTCGTTTTTACGAGATGCAGACGGCTTTTTGCTCGTTTTTGACGTAACAAATAGGCAGTCCTTTGAACAGGGCATACATAGAACAAAAACGCTAATTGATCATCACCTAGATGACTGTGCGTGTACAATCTTAGTGGGAAACAAAGTTGATGCAGGGGACAAACGTGAAGTTACTCGGAAACAGGCAGAAGAATTGGCAGCAAATCTTGGTGTACGCTACTTTGAAACAAGTGCAAAAACCGGCCAAAATATTGAGACAGTGTTTGAAGAACTAGCCAAAGAGATCTACAACGCACTAGACTTGTCGGATATAGGAACATATCCGCAAAAAAACCCTTGCAATGGTGCAGTCCACTTGCGTCAAGAACTGGGTCAAGAACAAACTGAAAAGTTTAGACTGAATTTGTCTCAGCGGTGTCCATGTTGCTAAATGTTAACATAAGAAAGCGTTGTTGTTACAATGTCACGAGACCGATTCCCTAAATGTAAGATTCCGCATTCTTCAAGAACTCAGAGCTTTGTCCCCCTCTAGGGTAGGTATGCGACGGATTTTTCTTTGACTTATCTCCCACCAGTTCATCGTTTTAGTTGGAAAAACCAGTTTTTTCTCTAATTACTATGCAAACCCCCAGCTATGATAGTCTCAAGTATTTGATTTATCCACAGGTAGCCCAAGCTCGAGATATGAGCATCGGCGTGCATCGGTATTGTTGCGTAACATTCAAAATATAAGGATTTGTATGGGAAAAAAAACCTATCGTTTCTGTAACCTACGAAAATGAAAGGATTTCAATACAAAACAGCTTACCTTACTTAAAATGTGTGTTACGTCTCTCCTGTGTGGTCCACGGGCCGATTTATGGCCGTTTTATGGGTTTTTATGTAAACGGTTTTCTCTAAAAACCTTTATATAGTGAGAAAAACGTTACGGAAAACGATAAGTTTTTTTCCCATACAAATCCTTATATTTTGAATGTTACGCAACAATGTCGATGCTCGCCAATGCTCATATTTCGAGCTTGGCCTACCTGTGGTCTGACCGAATTATATTCACATCACTACCAAAGCAAAAGAATGTATTATGCGTCGACCTCTCCATCCCGATTAACCCTCCAAATCTGAAATCAGTTTTCCCTCTTTGCATACAGTTCTTGAACAATAACAAACGAGCGAAGAGGCCGGAAGAAATCAGTGTCTTAATGTTGCATTTTTAATACGGTCGAGCTTCTCCTTATCCTTATAAACCTCTTTTAAATAATGTGAACCACTCTGCAATTGTCCCGATTATGCACACGCGCGAGCGTCATCTGTTTTTTCTTAAAAAGACAATGTCATATTGACGAGACAAGATTTCCTTCCGGACCGCATCACCGATGGAGATTTGTTGTTTTACATTCTCAAGTATTCTCGGTTTTCACATGACGTCACCAAAATTCAAACTAAGAACTATCGATTCTTCTGAGTTTCATGAGGTATTACAGCACCTAAACACCTTTATTTAAACAAAAAGGGTTCTTCGTTTTGCGATAGAGGACGTTTGAATTTCGAGGCTTTTGCGTGACGCGGCATTTAGCTGGCGGCCGCTCTTATGTGAGTTAAAAGCATTACCAATTTTGGGAGATTTTGCTATCTAAACAGTCCTTGTCTCAGAATAAATATCACTTTAATCCTTTATGAGTTTTTCAAGCGATGAATTCACGCATTAGAAAGAAAACTCAAAAACAGATGTTTCTGTTGGTTTCCGGCGGCCGTATTTGTGCCTCTCAAAGGGACACAAACATGGCGTCTCCATACAAAGCTTTATAAATTTGAGTAAAACGTTTTTCCGAATATCTCACATATGAAATATCGCACAGACCTGATTCTTGGCGAGGCCTTTTGCATATTTATCTTCTATTATTTCCTAGCGTGTCAGAGGTCAAGTCTAAGTCCAGTAATTAATAATATTTGCTCGCGTTCTCAGTAGCCTCAAAGGTCAGTCAAACATTATATTATGATTTCAATCGCACTCGTTTCCCTAAACATTGAGTGCGTGTTGTTTGATTTTGTCGGCGGTAAGGAGGTTTAATCAGGGTTCATGCGAAAACTTCCAACCATTTTCAAGGACTTTCTAAGGACATTAGATTATGAAGGCCGGATCACCTACCACACAGGGGCGGATCCAGGATTTTTTTTAGGAGGGGGTGCACTCGTCTCTTGCTCTACTTCAAAACCAATAAACCACACAGTTTTTTTTTTCAGAGTACCAGTTGTATTAGAAAACCGCAGGTCATCTCAGGGGAGGGTGCGCACCCCCTGCACCCTCCCCCTAGATCCGCCCCTGCCACAAATGTAATTTCACAGACTGTACAAAAATTGCACATTCCCAGTACATTCCAACAGGACTTTAAGGCTTGAACTGTTTGCTCCACCAACTTCTCTTCATTTTCCAGTGCAGTTGTCTTACATTGATCGTTAATTCTTGCATAAAACAAAAAACATTTGATGTAAATCACTTTTAACTTCTCTGAACTATAAATTCAGTTCTGTTTTGGACGACAAAAAAGCATTTAAAACCACTTTCCAGGCCACTACATTCAAAGCTAAAGAAAATTCAAGGACTTTTCAAGGACTTTCACAGAAATTAAGGAGTTTTCAAAGAAAAATGGAATTCAAGGACTTTTCAAGGACTTCCCCTAAAATTCAAGGACTTCCCCTAAAATTCAAGTACTTTTCAAGACTGTGCGAACCCGTGTTTATTATAAGTTTATTAACATGTCGTTGCAACACTTCGTGCTTCTTGAAGCTTCCACAAGATCTCCTCAATCACACCCGTGTCTCAATGGTTTGTTTTTTGCATAGTGTTTATTGTTTCTGTTCCATTTCTGCTTATTCCTTTCACAATTATCCGAGCTTGTATGGAAGCTGGCGGGAGAAAAAAGCCTTCAACTGACCGCATTAGAGCGCTTCCCTTTTCCCTGGTCCTCCGGCCAATGGCAAGGAAAGTAACGCCAAGAAATCCCGATTTTGCTCAAATCGAACCTTAACGGGAACAATATATTATTGATCTGTAATTCTGAGAAGTTTTAGTGTAGTATCGAGCTCGGCCAAACGCGATGCAAACGGGTTTTTCAAGGTTTTCTTAGTCTCCTTGCATCTTTTGAATTCGCACATCCTGTCATAAAATCAAAGTTTGGTACATATGCGTACAGTAAATGACAATGGTTATAGCGAGTTAGTTTCATTTGTTTGTAATCAAGGGCGGATTTAGGGGTGGGCCGAAGGGGCCCCGGCCACCCCTTTGTTTTGAGATTTTGTAGTATTTTCATAGAATTCTCAGAAAAATAAAAAGTATTTATATAGCTGGCAAGTGGAAAAGGGGCCCGGCCACCCCTTTCTGAATTTCTGGACCCGCCCTTGGTAATCTTGCAACATGAAAATGATGCGCCTTCAGCTTCAGTCACATGTAAATAGGAGAGCCGTGAGACTGCTGTATCTGTTCATAAGTGCATGAGTACCTATGTTCGCTAGATGTGTATGTTACGCCAAATGTACAAGGTTTATACCTAGTCTGGTTGAGACACTCCTATTTGGACGTCTAGTCTTTGAACACGCACATGTAGTAGTGTGATTTGGTAAAATTCTTTCTGTTATTGAAATTAAACTGTTTTAGTGGTGTATTGAGCTGATGTTAGCGTTCAAACTAAGGAGAACATTTGTTTGTATTGCTTGAATCAATTTCTTGACCAGTCAAAAAGTTGTCCAGATAAGTCAAGTTCCACTAAGGAAATACTGTTTTTACCAATCAATTGGGCAGTGGGACTTGTATTGTGTTCGGAGGTTAACCCTGTTCACTCAGAGATTTATAGTAGTTGTATATTTCAACTAATTTTATCCAAGTTTTTAATTGTAGTTCTATTGTAACTAATTCTGTGCCACCCCACAAGCATTGTGCTTAAAGGTTTTTAAGTTTTGTAATAAATGATATGACGATGATGATGAGAAAATCGACTTTTACTCTAAAAGTCACATAGGTCCAGTTAATATTCGATAAGACATAGGAAAGATACAGTATATATGAGTTTTAAAATGAATTTTCATTAATCACCTATAAGTAATTGAATTACTAATTGAACTAATTATTATGCCATAACCTCGATGGAAAATATTGTTAACAATTCTTGTAGCCAATCCGATTTCTCCTGATGTAAGACTAAATTTAAAACGAGTATGATAGACATCCTTCAAGTCCAGTCAGGATAAACGGAGCTACAACGAGCTTTTGTGGGAGAGATTCAGCTTGAGTCTTGTGCTTGTATTTGCCAGAGTGAGAAGTCAATAAATTAGAATGAAAGTAAAATCAAGTTGTCACATTATCTGTCCCCCAGAGTTCTTTAACACATACTCAGTCAAAAACTCATTAATGATTCATTAAGAAAAAACAAAGAAAATTAATGTTTAATGATGTCTTTTTAATTGATAAAGACACGGCTAAACTTTACGTTCAAATTTTTTAGACCAAAATAACCCCAAATCTAGATATTAGTGCAAGAATGAGTTGATGTATATCAGAGATTTTGAAGCCGTTCAAAAAACTCGCAGTCTTGTATTATCAGGTGTGAAAATTTTAGGCCTCGCCTCGAGTTTTTAAACCTGATAATATGCTCCTACTCGTTTTATAAACAGTACAATCAACTGGGTCGGTTGATGAATTATGTAACAGTTAAGGGGCAGAATTATCTGTTCAGCTAATTAGTATGGATTGACTTTTACCGAATGCAGATCGGTAAAATATTATATGACTGAATCCGTGAGCGGGCAAGCCTGGAATTCTGTTTTCTGATTGGCCACGCCCGAGCTGGCAAGATGGTCCCTTTGATGTCTGTAGTAAAGAGGTAACACTGTAAATGAAACGAAATCGATCATCACCATACAGAGCACTTCTTCAAGGGGTTCATGCTGCTTCCAATAGGGCAATTGAAGGCCTTCGCAAACTTATTAAAGTTGGATAGCGAGCCAATGACTCTGGAAAGAACAAAAGAACAATGGTATTAATAATTGATGTTTGATGGTTTTTCTTTGTTATTGTAAACGACTCGAAGTTTTGTGAATATATATATACAGACTAGTGCAGGAATATGAAAAGCCAATAGAAATCAGTGCTAAGAGTACATTTTTTTGGAAGGGTGGTTGCAGTATTCGGTGTAGGACCGTTTTACTTGTCTTGTCGGCCTTCACATAAACCAACAAAGCTCATTATAAGGGTGGTCTGCGCAATACCCTTTTTTGCCTAAACTGTTACGGATCATGTTTTATTATATAGACTTGAGTGTTTTACTGGAAAATATACCACTCGTAAAATTCATAAAAACTACATCCGGGACCCGAGTGGTTTATTTTCCATAATCTCACACGTGAGTTTATCGATGACGTAATTTCGGTAATTTCCCTCTATTATTTTATCGATGTCTTTTTGTCTATATAATAAAAAGAACATTACACAACGGCTTGAAGACATGAATTTTATTTTCTCGTGGCAAAAATAATAAATTACCCACTCGCTGCGCTCGTTCGTAAAATATTGTTTTGCCACTCGAAAATAAAATTCATATCTTCGTGCCGCCGTGTAATATCCTCTATAAATCCGATGTATTCATACTGCTGATGATATTATTTCACTTAATGTCTGATCAAAAGGGCACTGTTAACTAGATTTTATAAACGTTTCAGGCACGTATATTCGAAAATAGCTATATAGGGTCTAAATAAGTATCAAGTGTCTAGAATTACGAAGCATGGCGAAGAATATTAACCTGTATTTAGGATACGAGTGAACATCCCTCTTCAATTGGTAGAGAGCCGCTTTCTTCTTGTAAACACTACACTGTGTCTAAAATAAAATAGAAAAACATATTGTGGATGTCGACGCGGATTTGTTTTCATAGTTTAATTTTGCTTTGTTCTGCACACGCTGCAGTGTGAAGCTATTTTACAGAGACTTGATGCGTCTTCATTCAATAGGTTATTTTTGTGAGACACGCCCAAAACCACTGCATTCTTTATAAACTATGCTTTGCGCTTNATGGGGGTACAATAATAAATATTGGGTAATTTTTGTTAAGTTCTTTTTGTTTTTTCTTCTTATTTTTCTACCCCCTTTTTTTTTTTTTAATTTTTTTTTTTTTCGGTCCTCCTTTTTTGTCCCAAATTTTTGTTCCCCCCCCCCCCCCTCTCTCTCCCCTTAAGATAGGGCTGCTATTGGGTTTACACAATAGATTAGGAGGCATCTAGTATATACCTCCTCGGGAAAATTTAATTTTTCTGTACAGCCCATATTTGAGGGGGGTACTTATTCGAGAGAGCGCTCTTTCGAGCTAATATGGTTTTCATTGCATTGGTGGGCTTTATTACATTCGTGGTCTTTCTGTAAACCACTGATCTGACGAAAGTTTCCTAATAAAAGATTATTATTATTTATTTATTAAACCTTACTTTACACACCATATTTTTTTTAGCCTGTCCTCCTCAACCACTTTCCAAGGGTTCTCTCCTACCCGCCCTACGGAGCCTCTCTCGCTTGGTATTTCTCTCCGTACGTATTCCACCTTCCCCTTTGCCTTACTTCATAAAAAAATGAGCGGCTAGTAATTTGCAAAATTGCATAGCCTACAATCATTACCAGGGAAAAGCAGCCAAAATTCTGACGTCAATATTTACATGTGACGTCATTCATCAGCGGTCATGCCTCCCGCCTGCTCCTGCGCGGGAATTTTGAATATTTTATGCTGCTCAGTTGATTCTCAGCCGAGAGACATTTGCAGTCAAAAGAAAAGTCGCCATTTACAACTTCTCCAGAAATACTTTTGCTTTACAGGGCGTTTTAATTTTGACAAGTTCAAAAATTAAGTCAGTGATGATTGTATCTTCTGGAAAGCTAAAGCTTTACCCAACGCTGCAACGACATACGCTACAAAATCAGTGTTTTGGTCCGGCCACAACAGATGAAACCATAGCTCATAAACAGGGGGAAAAGGTAAGCTTAAAGAACCACGTAATTTACTCTGTTCGTCTGGTTATAATTAGCCGGCTGAGAATAGGCTTTGCTCGTGTTTTAGCTTGTTTTCTAGTCCCCGTTCCGCGTTTGGAGAAATATCAGATATTTAGTTAATACTTAAGCTTATGTAAAAGATCATTTCTTATCTCGAACGAGGTCCATTATGAAGAGAGTTTTTATTCTAGGGATTTGCCATGAGAAATACTACGACTTTTAGGTATACAAAAATGTTTTGATGCAGAAATCAGACTTCATTAGTGTAGAACTGAAAATCCCAACACTTAACTTCACATACCGGCACACAACAGCCTTTTTCTCATGTAATAATGTTGCAAGTGCTATAGCGACGAGAAAATTAAACAGCTCTTTCAACAATCCGATTTTAAGCCCCCTGGGTATAAATTCCCTCTTATTAAAAATGTACTGATATGAATTCGATTAATTATGAAGTATAGTATTGAAGCTTAATTAAAAATCAGTAAATTAGCCTGGAACCAGGCTCAGCAGTTGCTCGGCAGTGGGGCAAAAGGGGGAACGGGCCTTCCCAGACTATCGGGCACACCAATATTTTTCTCCTTTTTCTCCCAATGCGGAGCATGGTCCCAGGCTATCAGTAAATTAAAAACGTATTTTGATCAGCACCGTTATAGCTTGTTTCAAAGCACTTTTTCTATTCCGGTTATACGCCCTTCCTTTTATTAGCCCTCTTAAAACCCCTTACGACGATGTATAAGCCCAGGGTTTGAACAAACAAGTCGTGGTAGCGTTTTTTCAAGAATCAAGGTGTTGAAAGGGGGCTAATAAAAAAATAGAGACAAATAGAGAAGTGAAGAGAGCGGGATTGGGAAAAAAAACAAAAAGAAAAAATCTACATGAAAAATTATACGAGAAAAAAATGCACACAGCTGAGACAGGCAGAAAATAAACATGCACACATAGCGAGCCAAAAAAATTTCCACGCTGAAGCAGGACTCCCCACCCCGTTCACTTTCCTTATGGTCCTTCCCTAAGCAACCACGACGGGCAACGGCGACGGTGGAAAGAACGCCCGAGTATTAAAACATACCGTTGCAAATCCGATAAAAAAAAGTTGATCCACACTCATTGAAAGATCGGGTAAAGGATTCTCCCTTCCATTGGCCTTCACCCAGGACTGGTATGCCTGAAGCACAAGGGAATTTGACAGAGAAATCAAGATTAATATCAATAATTAGGAGCCAAGAGCCATAATGGGTCACATTATGGCTCTTGTTAGGAGCTGATTACCAAGAGCCTTCATCTCTCATACAAGCTCTTCGAGTGATTGACCCCAATCGGGTAATCGGCTCTTGCAATAATAATAAAGGATTAAATTAACTGCAAAACCTTGGACGAAGATCCTGCTAGTTGTAAACGTTGGATCTCTAGGAAAGAGATCAAATCAGCCAAAATATAAAGAACCAAGAACGAGAAGTCCAAAGACTACCGCAAAGCTGATTTAAAACAACGTGTATTGTTTTTTATAACAATATTTCGGCTGGCCATACCGGCCTTCTTCAGGTTTACAGATGTTACTGTACTTATGTAGCAATCACAATATTATATAGATGGAGAATGTCGCAATAAAAGGAGAGGCGAAAATGACGTACAACATAAAAACTGGAAAAGAAAAATACTAAGTATATGGATTACAATAATTCGTCAAGGCGGTTTAGGCCATGAGGTTCAAGAGTCATGGCCTTATCTATCAATAATACGGTTGCATAGTGTAGTTCTGCGACTGAATCAATTCTTTCTGGCCAAATGTAACAACAAACAAACAAAAAGGTAAGAAACTAGCACGCTACAATAACCTGTAAGAATATCTCAGTCTCTGTTGATGCTCGTTATTCTAAAAACACAAATTTCCATACATTTTTCCACAGTACCATGGCAACTGATAGAATGCATTGCAAGTGTAAAACAATGCAATAAAATAGCAGAGAATCGTAACACAGCCACATGACTCTATACTGAGAATGATCTTTAAAAAACGGTAAAGCAACAAATGCTTAAGTTGAAAAACACTTCCATCTTTGTTCATATGCCAACTTACTTCGTATGCTAGTTTTATCCCTCCGTTGTCAGCGATGTTTTCACCCAACGTCTGTTGACCGTCTATCTGCGTAAAGAATAATCAATAATGTAATAAGTACAATGTAAAATTATCATAAAAATGTTCATAATTTTAACTGTTTGGAACCCTATAATAGTAAGACAGTACGTTTCGTACAAACTGTTGCAATTCGGCTCCTCTTCAACCCCGTACCTGCGACGTACCGTATTTTTTCCACTTCGTCCCCGGGATGCCTTCTTAACCAGGCTACAGACTTTTGGGGTGTAATAACATCGTATTTTTGGAAAGAGCTAGCACTTCTAGTACTAGCTAGTATCTTAGCCAAAAGTTTTTTTTTTTGGCTTTATTACAATGGTTTATTTGGGATTAATTTTACGATTTTTACGACACAGGAGACTTCAATTAGAAAATCCTTGCCCCTAAAGTTATTGCGCTATATACTTACGTATTTTCCAAACACCTCGTAGTTGCTGTACTGATCAACAAGACATTGGCTCCTATCTTTGAAATTAAACTCCGATTCGTAAGACCACCAATCCTTAAAATTCCCATTTTTATCAAAAAGACGACCTACAAAGAGCAGAGATAAGGATATACGAAACAGCTTGGTATACATAAAAAAAAAACTGGTGTAGAAATTGTCGCAGGCTCATTGGTCGAGACTATTGTCTATAAGAGTAGTCATGGACGATGTGAAAGATGCAATGACGGCGCCAGCATTTTTCCCTCTGTCATGCGCTCGAAATCTTACCAAGAAACTTAGAATTAAGCTGTGAAAATCGATGTTACTCAGTAATAAAAACGAACACATCACAATTTTCCCATATCGTCTGAACTTACAGAAAAGAGAAAGACATTACTATGTTTAAATCTTGACTATATGAAGTATAAAACAGTGTGGTCTGTTCTTGACTTTTTTAAAGCCTATTTTCTCCTTTTTCAACAGAAATTGACCTTGTTTGTTCCAGGATCTTCCTAGCAATTCGTAACGTGTAAGTCTCATGTTCATTAAGTTTGATGTATTCAGTTTCGTGTCGTCTGAAAACGTTCATGCCTGCAGACTCTTTAACTGAAAAAATACCTCTATTGTCGAATCCGTGGGTAATTTCATGTCCAATGACCATTGCCAGTGAACCATAGTTGAGATACCTGGCGAAAGAAAGTAGTATGTAATTTGTTTCATAACATTATGATGCACTTAAAACCTCAGATGTAAAGAATAACCCCAATATAACGGAGACCCTCCGTGCCGTTATCCTCCATTTAGGAAGGGCAGGTCAGGGTTTCAGTCAGAAAGTTGTGTGTGTCAACGACCATTTGAGCTAGATTTGCTGCTCCGTGGTTACCTTTTTTGTGCAATTTTTATCAAATAATAATAAAAAAAATCTCTCTGGCCAGACATTTATCTCGCCTCGAGCTCTGTGGTTTACAAACAGTTTTACAGCCACAAAATGTCACGAAGTCGACTTCGTATCACTTACTTTGGGGCATTTTTCTTGTAAAAAGGTGATTGCAAGATTCCCGCCAAAAATACTATGGAAAAAAAAAGACAAATGAGTACAAAATTAAACAGGGTTGCGGATTGGTGCGACTAAGCTGTTATTCAGATCATAACAAGACTTGTGGTCGTGCGTAAATATCAGTCAACTATGCTGTATTTCAATTTGGAAGAAGGAGAAATTAAACACGAGAAAGCTCAAAAAAAATCCCGAAGTCCAAGTGAGCTTTGAACTCACGACCCGCTCCGAGTTCTAGACCGAATCTCTAGAGCAATGTTAAATCTTTCTGATATTGTGCATTCCGGATGGCCTCTATACGTTTGTCTTCTACTGTTTTGTTTCTTGTTTATTTTTGGTTTTCGTTTTCATTAAAACAAAGTAGAAGCTAAAGTAAAATTTTGACGGATTTTTATTCTAACCAACCTCAACTACAACATGCCTGCCACGAAATGGGAACTCCCACATACCTATTCGATTTTGCTGTGGATTGTAATATCCATTGATTTGTGCAGGGCCCATTCCCCACCTAGAAGAGCAGATTTATGTATATAACTTGTTTTAAAATTCAGAATCGAAATGTTGGTAATTGATAGTTTAGAAAACAAATTCTAACCAGACTTTGAAATTTTATGACTTATAATTTTGTACGAGTTGTTACTCGTAGTGTGGCTTATATTTAAGTAGAGAAGCGGATTCTAAAGGGAAAGCAGTTACTTTTGTTGTTGTAAATTAAGTGCCTGAATCAGAATGTTGGGGAATATGATTACTGACTAATATGAAACAACATGTTAAAGGTAGCTGAATGACTTATAGTTGCTGTTTCTCCTGAAGGTCCTATTTTACGGATATACTGGTGAACTCTGGAATATCAAATGATGCACATCCTCAATCAAACTTCAGCCTTCTTTGGCTGAAATGGGCTGACAAGCGGCATTATATTACTTACAAATCCTTGTTGACTGGGTGACGAAGCATTCCAAAGTTTTTTTGGACCAACATCTTGTTCATTGCCACTGTGTTTTCAAAATAATTGTCATCGATTGTCAGCTGGTGATTTTGGAAAACACAACAAAACAAAATAAATGTATAAATCTAGACGAGATAATAAGCAATGACATGATTTGATTTCCTCAGAGACTAGCCACGTGATAGGTGGACTAATTTCTGTTGCTCTTGTAGACCAAAAAAAAAATGAAAATAAGCGGGCGAGGCAAAAGGAGCAAAAACAAACTGCCCCATGTTGCATTGCTGGTTTCGCCCCCTGTTGCCCCTGCCTTCTTAGGGCCTATTAGGGAAAAAGAGATTTGAAAAGACGGCGTTTTCCTTCTACCTAATAAACCCTGATATTTTGCCTAATCAATGCCACTAAACGGCACGACTTCTCAGTGCAGACACAACTACGTAGTTATTGTTTGTAAACAGGCAACAGGCAGAACAAAAGGTCATTTTAATTAAGGGAAAATGTTTCGCCTAAATTACGATAAATCTACATTACCATGGAGTAATGTTGGTCAAGTTTCCAGTCGTCTTTTATGTATAGTGGGTATCCCACATCCTCTTTTATAGCATTGGCCTGAAATGATGGCATGTTATTATGTTATTACGTGTTAGTGCCATTATTTTAGTAAAACTTTCTGGTCAGGGTCCAGATCTCAAAAGTTGGCGACTCTGAACTTAACAATTAATTAATAAGCATTATTATTCATTCAAAATATTTCCCCAATTCTGATTGGCTAAAAGCACACGCATAATTCACCATAACCGGTTACTGATGACCAAATTTGGAAGAAATGCAGCCTTCTACAGGTTAATGCACCTTTAACCGAGAAGACCTGGGGACGAGATTGAGTTGTTTTCGTTGTAAAAACTAAAATGGCAGACACTCCACTCGTTTCAAGAGTAAGAACTACAGCTGGAACTAGGCGAAATAATGGCTAAAAACATAACAAAAACAGCAAGAAGACAATTCGGAGGGCGACATCTGCTATTTGGAGAATATTTGCGGAGCTGGACAAACCTAAACGTTAAGTGTATCTTCGGTGAAGTGACACTTTGCATCGATGCAGGTAAGCTTGTTTTAGCTATGTTTTTAAACTAGGAATTATTTTGAATGAATAATAAAACGGCTTTCGTATCATATGAAGAATTATAGAGATCTCGGAGGGTGTTATTCGTCTCGGCCTACGGCCTCGACGGATAACACCCTCCTCGATCTCCATAATAGACCTTGTCACGGTTTTCGACGCCATCTTGACGAGTAGGCAAACGCGTGAGAAATTACATTGTTTGTATGAGAATCTAATGTCGGATAATTACCGTAAAACGGCTGTTCTGAAAAAAATATCAATTGTAAACTAAAGCTACAGTGCAAAGGATTGTCCTGAAAAATTTTGGGGATGTACCTGTGCTTAAATTTCTCCCGAGGCTTGCTTTAGATTTTCCATATATTTGTCTGTAATTTTCCCGGGACTTTCTTACAGACAAATGTATAGAAAATTTAACAAAGTGGTTCTGGGTCTTCAAGTGAATGTAACGCCCTCAATTTTTTTCAGGAGAATCTTTAGAAGTGAAGCTTTAGTTTACAAGTCATATTTTTTTCAGAACAGCCGTTCTACGGAAATTATTCGACATTAGATTCTCATACAATCACTTTAATTTCTCACGCGTTTGCCTACTTGTCAAGATGGCGTCGAAAACCGTGACAAGGTCTATTCTTTATAAGATACTCAGCCTCATTCATTAATTGTTAAATAACTGAACTACTCCGAGTTACAGAATTTATTTTCTGGTTTGTACCCTGCCAATAGAGACAGTTACCTGCGTGGTTTCATATGTTCAATATATATGCTAAATATATTCTCTTCAAGGCAAGCTTTATGTTAAAAATAAGATCTTTAGTAACAAGTTAAAAAATGAACGACCAGTTAGAGCAGAAGTATCCAAGGGATTGGGAAGCACACTCATAAAATTTCGAAATTTAAATCCTCAGAAATGAGGTTTCCAGCATTCTGAGGCAACATCACTGAAATTCAGGCAAATTTCTTCTGTGCCATTTTAAACTGCACCTTTTCTTTGGCAGCCTCTTTTGTTTCTGTATCCATCCAATCCGCTGAATCGAGGTTACTGATAAAGGCCTTGCGAATAAGAGTCGTCATTTCCTGTACCTGAAACAAAAGAAAGATTTTTTAACAACATCAGATGCCAACAGAAGCAAGTGTCAAAGCAACTACACCTGATCAGTGACGGAAATAAAAGAAACAAAACAAAAACAACGCTAAGAAAACAATATATAAACTCAAATCAAGTGCATGATGCCTGTGTCCCCTGGTAAAAGTAGTTGTCAATTCTTCATTATCTATTTTGTCCAGGACTTTTTATATTGTGCACCTTTCGACTTATAATTTAAGACCTCTTTATCATTTTTGTTTTGCTTTAGAGACTAGTACTTCCACCTGACACGTGGGAAAACTAAAAACTCAAAGATGGCAGGTCTAGATTTACCGAAATTCGTCTTTATCTGATTTCAAAGATTTTTGTTTATCGTTGCCGGCGCGTTACCACATAAAACTACATTTTGACAAACCTCAATCGAAGATCAGTTGGTGGTGAAAATTTTATTGCGATTGGACTGGACTAAAATCACTTTAAAGGCGATTGAAAAATATCTGTATGGTCTCCAAAAAACTCTATCGAAACACCTTAAATCGAATCAGAATGGTTTTTTTCTCCCCTAATCGCCGCACGCATGGACCGAGAACCGCCATAACTGAATTTCCGTGCGTTTCCTCACTCGTCCATCTCTCCCCAGTCTCACACTCCGTTTCCAAACTTTCCTATGATCAGCCCCAAAATACGGCTGCTTTACACTCAAAACTCGTTAAATCAAAGGAGTCACTTTACCGTTGTTTTAGTTGCTTCGTCAAAATGTGCATCAACATACATCCTCCCCAGAGTCATGTCCATTGGTGTCATCATTTGCTCAATACAAGCAGACCATCTTTGATATTCTCGCGCCCCAGCCACAGTCTTGACAAACTCAAGCTTAGCCTGAACAAATACATCAGGCATTGACGAAACGTACTGGGAAACAACTCGCCACATTATGTAGTCCTTGATAATGTCGTGGGAGCTAATTAAAACAAATATCACCATGAATGGTTGCCCTTTAGACATGTCGGGAACTGGTTACATAACAAGTTCTTCTTAGAGGGCTCTTGAGTATTACATGTAGGATAATGCCTGAGCTCCGAGACCCTCTTGAAAATAATGACCGAGCGCGCAGTGCGAGGTCATTATCCGTTTTAATGCACCTTTCTATTGTTTTAGAACCAGCAGGTCATTATTGTGGCCACTGAAATGGAGCAGTAGGTTGTTATTCGTAATAATATCATAGGTGACGAATTACTCCCTAATTTTGGCGCGAAATTTCAGCGCGTTAATTTGTAATTTAACATGTGAAATTACAAAATTGCCATGGCAACCTTCGTTACGTCTCAGTGTCAAGATGGCGTCGAAGTTTTAAAATGCCGTACATGAAGATGTCAGAGCACAAAAAGATGCTTTAGAAAACCTGAACACTCGAAAGAGCACATCAAGAAGGATTCTAACAGGTACAGTTTGTCAAACATTTTTGAAAATTCTGAACTTAGCCAAATTTAAGGCCTAAGCATTAAGTGAGAGAGTGGAGTTCTCGATCGATACGATCCACGATGAACATGTCAAAAATTCACGATTGCTAACGTAGTTCGTCAGCCATGATATTAATAGGTAATCAAATGGTATATTCGTGAAATTAGGGAATAATTTCACTTGTCACCGTTTGAGTACACATACTAATGACCTCTTATTTCAAGTCAGTGACCTGCCCTTCCATTTATTGAAAATTATAACCTGTTCAAAACAATCGAAAGGTGCATTAAAATTAGGAACATTAACCTGATTAACCTACTGTTTTTGACAGAACGTACGAGTTCCCGCAATATAATCTTAAGATTCTTTATGCAACCCAGCCCTTTAAGTGTATAAACATATGGTAGTTTTCAGTTATTTAGGCAGGCAAACATTGACTTAGGGCTGTCTATTATGATGTCATATCTTTATGTTTTCGTTGTTAGCACTTATTATGCATTGATCTTTTTACTGACGCCTTTTTTAGTTTAAGGTGCAA